GAATGGGGATTAAACAAGGGTTTCATATATACTTAAACAATATAAATACAATGGTATCAATGGAAGGAAAGGAAAGAAAGAGTATTAAATCCTATTAATAAAAAGGAAAAAAAAAGTTTTTAACTAGAAAGGATATAAGTTAGAAGGTAATATTTTCAAATCTTCTATTATAACTTCTCTATTCTACGTGACAAAAAAGGAAGAGACAAGAACTAGGATAGCAAGTTAAATAGGAAAAAAATATCTTAATAATACTAGATTTCATAATTATTCAACAATATAGTTTTTTATGAAAAAAAGGGATGAACCGCATCCTTAGCGGCCCCCACCTGCCTTACCCTGGGCTTTGGTAAAGGAGGTAAATCGCAGGTTATGCCTCAAAGGGTATAGGGTGGAAGGCTGCTTGTACACTTGCACTTACCCAATGGCCAAATCCATATTTCAGGATTCGAACCCTTGATGCAGCAGCATCAAGCAAAGCTGGAATTTTTCCACCTTCCCCTTTTACCACTTGGAGATGTGCCCTGGGGGCATAGTTTTTTATGTAAGTGTAACCATCCTCTCGAATATATGCAAAGTTAATGTCTGGATGAGAGTTAAAAAATTGAATTTTTTNTAATACTAGATTTCATAATTATTCAACAATATAGTTTTTTATGTAAGTGTAAACATCCTCTCGAATATATGCAAAGTTAATGTCTGGATGAGAGTTAAAAAATTGAATTTTTTTTAGTACGAATAAGCATTCCAGAAAAAAGGTCTCCAATACCAATTCATGTAGAATGCTAAAAGAAAAGCTAAAAAATAAGAACTCTGACAAGAATTTAGAGAGGCAAATACCAAATAAAGTAACAAGAAAATAAAGTAATGCTAAAAGAATCCGTCTTTCAAAGAATGTGCATGAAAGAACTTACACAGAATTAACACTAGATTGTTCTAAAATTAATCACATGGTGACTAAGTTGTTTTAGAATGCTCAACAAGATGATTTGTTAAGTTTGAGTCCAAAATACTATTTTGACTATATTAGTAGACATACTTGTTTTTGGCTTCAGGGAAATTGTAAAGTCGTTTTTCAGAAGTATGAGCATGTAAGTATAAATCAATATTTAAGGAAAAAAATGAAATGTGCTGAAAAGTCATAGCTTGAGCAAATAAGAGATGACACAAACATTATCTGGATCAGCCAAGGGATGGAGGGTTGAAACCACAAGTGATGGGACAGCATCCTTTTCCTTAGGTTTAGTCTCAGAATTTTCATTTTTAGGCCCAAGTTCTTTATCATAATCTATCTCCTTGTCCACACCAGGTCCCTATATTAGAAGCCAATTTTATAAATGTAGCTTGTGCGTAAATATAAAAATTGGCATCAAAGAAAGTAGAAAAAGGAATGACACTATTTTCACATCTTACACTGACATTTTCCTCATTGTCAATCTGATTCTGAATTTAATACTCAGAGTGTTCTTCATTATCAGAGTCTCCAAAAACTTCACGGAGTGCTGCAGCTACATGCAAGTTCTGATGATCGCGGTTCTGCTTCCCAATATTTTTTCTTCGCAATAACATGAAAAAGTTGTTTGTCAAAAATTGTTCTCAATCAGATAATCCAAAAAAGTTATATAAGAATATATAATCCTATTATTTCATCAATCTTCATACAAATTAACCCTGAAACCCCAATGCCAGAAATCAGTATAAATAAATGCATTTAGCATTCGATGGAGATTGATACGCTATCCAAGTTCCTTCCTTCACATTCTCTTTGATCACCAATGCAAACCAATTGAGAACCTGTTATTTTCAACTTGCTCGATCCGTGAATATGATCAACATCCTGCAGCTCGTCCTTGCTTTGGGATCCCTCCTTTCGTTCACCTTCACTTGGGCCATTCCCTTCAGGCATGAGACCTCCATTTTCTTCATTCTGAAAGAAAAATAATAGCACCAACAATTCAATATCAGCTAACAAGCCATGTCATATAAAAGCAAGGGGAAAGAGGTACGATTCTGAACTCTATGGACATTAGTACATTAACAACTGTTACACTCCAGCTAAATATGTCAGCAAATATGCCACCTGGAGCAAGCAATTGAAAATTCCATTGACTTAACCCAACAATTTAAAAGAGCATAAAACCAGTCTCCCATTACCACAAGTCCATAGTACAGTACTAATAACCTTTAAATAAAATTAGAAATTCAGGAAATCACAAGAAACTAATTACACATAAATTACGTTAAAGATTGATTACCAGACAGGCTCGTGTACGCGATATCTTATTACATACTCAGAAGAAGGTCTAATTAAGTTATTAATTAACCTGATATCTCATTCTGAAAATGGAAAATATTACTCATAATGTGTTTATAAAGTCAAGCTAGCACAAGCATAATAAAGCAGCTTTAACTCTGATAAACTTGAGAGCCAATTATGAGTTACCAAAAACACGGGCTAAGATGACAAACAATATACTCTCCAGTATATACAACACAATATGGCAGAATTTATGAAAGTTTAACCCAGAGTCATAAAATTACGAAGTCACCAATCCATTTCTTCTGGACCTCAACAAAATTTGATGCATCAAAAAGATTTGCAACTTTAAAATGAAATTTCAAAATATATGATACTCATGAACATTGAACAAAGACTGGATCATGTCAATGAACCAACTGTGCTTCCTTCGCGTGATTGCATTACATATTATTCTCAAAAGAATTTGTCAAACACTGATTATCTTGCTTTTCTAATTCTTGAACTTACTATGACGAAGCAATTGCAACACTCATGGCTGTATGGGATATAATAA